AGCCCTCATTACTTCGTCCTGACGAGCAACAAGATCTACTACTCGGAGGAGACCTCCCGCTACCAGTTCAACGAGGACGAGGAGGAGGTGGAGCAGAAGGAGGTGCGTGAGGGGCGAGGGGAGAACTCCGGGGAGGAATGGGTGGAGAGAGGGTGGCAAAACCCGTTTCTGGTGGTGGGGGGTTTGACCTCGCAGGAGTTCAACAACAACGAGCTGCACTTCACGGAGAAGTGGTTCCACGGCAAGCTGGGAGGGGGCCGGGACGGGCGGCAGATCGCCGAGAAGCTGCTGCACGAGTACTGCACCGAGACGGGCGGCAAGGACGGCACCTTCCTGGTGCGCGAGAGCGAGACCTTTGTGGGCGACTACACCCTCTCCTTCTGGTAGGAGCTCCAGAAGGGCAGGATCCCGCCATTCCCGAGCCATCCCGCCCGGATGACCTTCCAGTCGCTGTCCGTGGCGGCTGGAATGGTTTTTCCGGGGGAAGGGGCGGGAAACGCCGCCTGTTTCTGGATGCAGACCCAACTTGACCCGCCTCTCTCCCGCCGCCGCCGCAGGAGGTCCAGCCGGGTGCAGCACTGCCGGATCCACTCGCGGCAGGAGGCCGGGGCCACCAAGTTCTACCTGACGGACAACCTGGTCTTCGACAGCCTCTACAGCCTCATCTGCCACTACCGGGAGGTGCCGCTGCGCTGCAACGAGTTCGAGATGCGCCTCACCGACCCCGTCCCGCAGCCCAACGCCCACGAGAGCAAAGAGTGAGTGAGGAGCATCCCCAGCCTCTGAGTAACCCCCCGGGGTGTGGAGGTGCCGGTGGCAGCACCCCCCGCCCCGTGCCCGTGCTGTGCCCGCCCAGGTGGTACCACGCCAGCCTGACGCGCCTGCAGGCCGAGCACATGCTGATGCGGGTGCCGCGCGACGGAGCCTTCCTGGTGCGCAAGCGCAGCGAGCCCAACTCCTACGCCATCTCCTTCCGGTGAGCGCGGCCGCCATGAGGCCTCCCGGGCTTGGCCGAGCCACGTGGGTTGCTTAGCTTGGGTCCCTGGGGGACCTCAGGAGGTGACACATCCTCGGGGTGACCGCCTCGGTAGCTCCCCGTGGAGGATCCAGGATCCAGGATCCAGCCCTCACTCCATCCCCCCACGTGTTGTCCCGGCCCCAGGGCGGAGGGGAAGATCAAGCACTGCCGGATCCAGCAGGAGGGGAGGCTCTTCATGCTGGGCAGCTCGGCCGAGTTCGAGAGCCTGGTGGATCTCATCAGCTACTACGAGAAGCACCCGCTGTACCGCAAGATGAAGCTGCGCTACCCCATCAACGAGGAGACCCTGGAGAAGATGGGCACCACCGTGAGTGCTCCCAGCAAGGGGGGGTGAAGGTTCGGCGCCCCTGTGCCCAGCTCCACCACCCTCCAGAATTCTGGGTGAAGCCCAAGCAGAACAGGCCGAGCTCGTTCTGCTGACCCACCGTAAATCCCTTCCAACGCGTTGGGTTCAGGTTGGACATGGGGGAGAAGTTCTCTCCAGGGAGGGGGATCAGACCTCGGGGTGGGCTGCCCAAGGAGGGAGTGGAGTCCCCATCCCTGGAGGTGTTGAAGCAGAGCCTGGACGTGGCACTCGGTGCCAAGGTGGGGTTGGACTCGACGATCTCAGGGGTCTTTTCCAACCCGGTTCATTCCGTGAGTTGCAAACGGATTTTAGGTGCCCTCCCAACCTCCTTGTATCCAACCACACCCCCCCTGGGGACTTTCTCCCTGCAGGAGCTGGACTATGGAGCCCTGTATGAGGTGCGGACCCCCCACTTCTACGTGGAGGCCAACAAGATGCCCATGGCCAGGGTAAGGGGCCAGGGTGGGCACCTGGGAGGTGGAGGGTGGTGGGACGTGATGATTCCAGAGCTGGGCTTCGTGGGTGGTCCCTCCCCAGACCCACCACGTCTCCCACCACCACCGACCTGAGATGTGGGGACGTTTTGCCACGTTTTTGTGACCCTCGGGTGATGCCGGAGCTGGATCCCTTTCCACTGGGGAACCCCAAAGAAACAGGTTTAGGGGAAGTTCCCAGAAGATGCATTTTCCATCCTTGGAGGTTTTTGCAACTGGGTTGGGTTTAGAGTTGATCCAATCTCCATCCTTGGTTTTTGGGACTGGCCTGTCCTTGGGGTTGACCACAGTCTCGAGTCCTGGAAGTTTTTGGGACTTGAGGCTCCGTCAGGAACTGTGATAGGACAAGGAATGATGGATACAAATTGAAAGTGGGGAAACTTGGCTGGGATATTGGGAAGAAATTCTTCGCTGTGAGGGTGCTGAGCCACTGGAACAGATTGTCCAGGGAGGCTGTGGATGTCCCAGCTCTGGAAGTGTCCAAAGTCAGGTTGGATGGTCAAAGCCAGGGTCCCGCTCCAGCCCAGATATTTATCCAGAGAGTGGGGAATACTCCTGGCCCCACTCCAGCTTGGACAATTTTCTGGAAGATGAAGGATGCTCCCAGCCCTGTGCCAGCCCAGACCCTTATCCAGAGGCTGTGGGATGCTCATGGTCCTGTTCCAGCCCAGATCCTTATCCCAAAGCTGTAGGATGCTGCCAGTCCTGTGCCAGCTCAGAAACTTATCCAGAAACTGGGGGATATTCCAGGCCCTGCTGCAGCCTGGACCCTTATCCAGAGTCTGGGAAATGCTCCTGACTCTACTCCAACCCAGACCCTTATCCAGGGGCTGGGGGATGTTCCTGGCCCTGTTCCAATCCAGACCCTTATCCAGAGGCTGTGGGATGCTCACAGCTCTGCTCCATCCCCGATCCATGAGCATCCCACTGCCTCTGGATACGGCTCTGGGCTGGAGCAGGACAGTGGGACGCTCCTGGCCCCACAGCCACCCAGACCCTTCTCCCTGAAGAACCTCCTCTAGCGGGAGGTGTCCCAACCCCTGGCAGGGTGTGTGCTTGGAACAAGGGCCATCCCAACCCGTTTGGAATTCGGGGCGTGGCACCCTCGGGAGCCCCCGGGGCTGTGCCTGGAGGAGCTGTGGGGGCGGGCAGGGGGGGTGACACGTCCCTCCCCCCCGTGTCCCAGTGCACGGTGAAGGCCCTGTACGACTACAAGGCGCAGCGGGAGGACGAGCTGTCGTTCTGCAAGCAGGCCATCATCCACAACGTGGACAAGCAGGACGGCGGCTGGTGAGGACGAGGGGACACGCGGGGGGATCCCACGGATCGTCCCCTCGTGGGTTTTTAACGGCCTCCTCCTCCTTCTCTGTCCCGCCCCTTCCCCGCCCCCCAACCCCTGCTCCGCCCGGCCCCGCATGCAGCTCGGACACCCCCGACCCCTCCCCCAAAATCCAGCCTTGATCCTCTCCCCCCCTTGCAGGTGGCGGGGGGACTACGGGGGCAAGAAGCAGCTCTGGTTCCCGGCCAACTACGTGGAGGAGATTGTGGGCACCCAAGCGCTGGAGCAGGATGAGGCCGTGAGTGACACCCCCCCACCCACAGTGGGGACATCGGAGATGGTCCCGGTGCTGCTCCAGCCCAGACCCTTATCCAAAGGTTGGGGGATGTTCCTAGTGCTGCTCCAGCCCAGATCCTTATCCTAAGGCTGGGGGATGTTCCTGGCCCTGTGCCAGCCCAAATCCTTATCATGGTCCTGCTCCAACCCAGATCCTTATCCAGAGGCTGGGAGATGCTCCTGGTCCTGCTCCAACCCAGACCCTTATCCTAAGATTAGGGGATGCTCCTGGTGCTGCTCCAACCCAGCTCCTTATCCTAGCATGAGGATTATTCCAGCCCAGACCCTTATCCTAGGATGAGGGTTACTTCCAGCTCTGCTCCAACCCAGACCCTTATCCAAAGGTTGGGAGATGCTCCTGGTCCTGCTCCAGCCCAGACCCTTATCCAGAGTCAGGGGGATGCTCTTGGCCCGGTGCCAGCCCAAACCCTTATCCAGTGTCCGGGTGATGTTCCTGGGTGTTTTTTTCCCGTTTTTCCTCAGTTTTGGCTGACTGGGAGACCCGGGGGAGTGGCTCCCAAGTGGAGCTGTCACCAGGCCTGGCCCCGCAGGCCTCTCCCATCTCCCTTATTCCTTCCTCTCTTCCAGTCCTCGGAAAACAGCCCCCTGGGGAACTTCCTGAAGGGATTCATCGACGTCCCGTCCTGCCACGTCGGTGAGTTCCCCTCTCACTGATTTGGGGGGGAATTCCGAGGAGCTGGGACTGATTTGAGGGGAATTCTGAGGTTGGGACTGATTTGAGAGGAATTCGGAGGTTGGGACTGATCTGGGGGAATTCAGAAGTTGGGACTGATCTGGGGGA